TGGAGGGTGCAGTGAGTCAGTGAGGCTGCAGATTATGCCACTGCACTCCAGCCTTCTGACAGAGTGAGTCTCCAAAAAAAATTAATAAAAAGGAATTCTCAATTAAAATGTTTAAAATAGACCCAACAGTGCTTCACGCTATAATCCCCCAGCATTTGGCGCGGCGGGACCGCCGCATCGCTCAATTTGCGAATTCCAAAATCCAGAACGATTGTTAAATCATCGTCTTGATCTCTCTGTGAGATTTGTCATGGTCGGATACTCCTTTTCTTTAAATTCTTTTCCTACCTTGGTTGCTCTTTTACTAGTAGTTTTTTTTGTTTGTTGTTTGAGACAGTCTCACTCTTACCCAGCTGAGTGCAAATCCAATCTCAGCTCACTGCAACCTCCACCTCCTGTTAAGTTTGGTCTCAGCTCGCCTAGTAGTTGGATATACAAGTGCACATCACCTAATACGACTATTTTTTTTTTTTCAGCGGAGTCTCACTCTGTCCCGAGACTGTGAGTCAGTGGCACATCGTCGCTCCTCAATCTCGCCTCCCAATTCAAAGCAGTTCTTCCCTCAGCCTCCAAGTAGCCGATACAGTGCCTGCCCACCACACCTGACTAATTTTTTTGGTATTTGTTAGTAGAGGATGGGAGTTTTGCCCGTTGGGCCGAGGGATGCTCTCAGATATCCTGACCTCATGATCCGCCTGCCTCGGCCCTCCCAAGAGTTGCTGATTTACAGGTGTGGACCCACTGCGCCCGGCCCACAGCTATCATATTCGGTATTGCTGGTTCGTCAGAGATCCGAACGTTGTATTTTTGCATGTTTGCACGTCAGAGAGTGTCACTTCGACTAGGCATGACTCCGCTCCAAACAATCGAACAAATCACGCGGTGCATCCACACCACCCTTGGTCCTCCCAAAGTAATGGAATATACAGCATGACCCATGCACCACCAGCTGAAATGTACTAGTATGTTAACTGGTCTTCATAATACTAGTAGATATAAGAATCAGAGTGTGGAAGATTAAATTCCCTACTGGGTTCAAGTGATTCTCCTGCCTCAGTCTCCCGTGTAGTTGGGATTACAGGTGCCCACCACCACGCCCGGCTAAGTTTTATGTCTTTTTAGTAGAAAGGGGGTTTCACCATATTGTCCAGGCTGGTCTCGAACTTCTAACCTTGTGATCCACCAGCCTTAGCCTCCCAAAGTTCTGGAATTACAGGCATGAGCCACTGCACCCAGCCTTTAACACTTTTATAAGTAAAAAAAATTATTTTTTCACAGAGACAACATCTTACCATGTGGCCCAGGCTGGTCTCAAACTCCTGAGCTCAAGTGATCCTCCTGCCTTGGCCTCCCAAAGTGCTAGGATTATAGGTGTGAGCCACCATGCCTGGCATAACACGGTCTCCTAAAAAAATTTTTTTTCCCTTTTTTAAAAAAATTGATGGCCAGGTGCAGTGGCTCATGCCTGTAATCCCAGCACTTTGGGAGGCCGAGACGGGCAGATCATCTGGTCAGGAGTTCGAGACCAGCCTAGCCAACATGACGAAACCCTGTCTCCACTAAAAATACAAAAATTAGCCGGGTGTGGTGGTACACGCCTGTAATCCCAGCTACTTGGGAGGCTGAGGCAAGAGAGTCGCTTGAACCTGGGAGGTGGAGGTTGCAGTGAGCCGAGATCACATCACTGCACTCCAGCTTGGGCAGCAGAGTGAAACTCTGTCTCAAAAAAAAAGAAAAAAAATTGTTTCAGATTAATTTTTTTTTCTTGAGACAGGGTATTACTATGTGGCTCAGACTGGTCTTAAATTCCTAGACTCAAGCGATCCTCCTGCCTCAGTCTCCTGAGCAGCTGGGATTACAAGTGTGAGCCCCTGTAATTATGTTCTCATGCCCCTTGGAGGAAGATGCTATTCTCTTCACCATCACCATGCGCCCCTCCTGGATTTATGTGCATTCCTCATTAGAAGAGATAGCATAGGCTGGGCAAGAGATAACATGGCATGGTGCTTGGATGCCCTCTTCTAGGTAGTGGGTCCAAGAGAGCTGCTCAACAACCGGTGGCTACTTTTATCTGTGTCCCCACGCTCCCATGTGCCATACCTCCACCCATGCCTGTATGTGCACCCAACATCCTTGACCCCATATACATCAGAACACAGCCATACACAGGGATGGCCCAGGATCCTCTGGCCTCAGGACGTCCCTCTTGCCTGCAGGGCCGGCATTACCGCACCAACCACATTGTGATGACCATGGGCTCGGACTTCCAGTATGAGAACGCCAACATGTGGTTCAAGAACCTTGACAAGCTCATCCGGCTGGTAAATGCACAGGTCAGTGTGCCTACCCTGTGGTACCCTTGTGCACATGTGCACTTGCATCCGGGGGCCTTGTGTCATGTGCATAGCTCTCAGTGCTCTCTTTGTTTTCTATTGTTCTATTGTGGTCATTCTATAACAAATGACCACACACGTAGCAGCTCAAAACAACGGAAATACATCGTTTTACAGTTCTGTAGGTAAGAAGTCCAGCATGAGGCTGGGCGTGATGGCTCACACCTGTAATCCCAGCACTTTGGGAGGCCAAGCCGGGCAGATCACGAGGTCAAGAGTTCAAGACCAGCCTGACCAACATGGTGAAACCCTGTCTCTACTAAAAATACAAAAATTAGCCAGCTGTGATGGTGCACGCCTGTAATCCCAGCTACTCGGGAGCCTGAGGCAGAGGAATTGCTTGAATCCGGGAGGCAGATGTTGCAGTGAGCCGAGATCACACCCCTGCACTCCAGCCTGGGCCACAGAGAAAGACTCTGTCTCAAAAAAAAAAAAATTCCAGCCTGAGTCTCACCAGGCTATAATCAAGGTGTTGGCAAGGCTGTGTTCTTTCTGCAGTCTCTAGGAGAGAATACAATTTCCTTGCTTTTTCCAACATCTAGAAGTTGCCCACATTCAAAGTCTCTTCTTGGCTCCATCTTCAAAGCCAGCCACACAGCATCTTTCTGACCCTGTTTCTGTAATCACATCCCTTTCTCTCATTCTCACCTCTTCTGCCTCCCTCTTCCACATTTTAATTTATTTATTTATTCAGAGACAGAGTCTTGCTCTGTCGCCCAGGCTGGAGTGCAGTGGCATGCTCTCAGCTCACTGCAACCTCTGCCTCCCGGGTTCAAGTGATTCTTCTGCCTCAGCCTCCCATGTAGCTGGGACTACAGTCACGTGCCACCACTCACAGCTAATTTTTGTATTTTTAGTAGACAAGGTTTCACTATGTTGGCCAGGACGGTCTCGATCTCTTGACCTCGTGATCCACTCCGCTCGGCCTCCCAAGGTGCTGGGATTACAGATTTGAGCCACTGTGTGGCCTAATTTCCCTACTTTAAGTTTAGCTGATGAACAACCTCAATTACATCTGCAACCTTAATTCCCCTTTTGCCATGTAATCTAACGTAGTAATAGCTTCTGGGGATCAGGACATGGACACTTTTGGGCAGTTATCATTTTACCCAATACAGATGTGTTAGTGTTTCGCGCTAAGTGGCCTGTGGCTGTGGCTGTGTGCACAGTCACTCTCATCAGCACAGAAACTTGTCTCCCCTCTCCCATCTCAGGCACCCCTTCCCGTCAATCTTGTCCTCACTGCAGTGCAATCTCCATCCCCACCTTCCACTCGCTCCCTGCACTGCTATTTCACCAAAACAGCTCTTTTATGTCATTTATTTTTATTTATTTTTTCTTTTTAAAATTTTGTTATATGTATTTTTTATTGTTTGTTTGTTTTGAGGTAGAGGCTGCTTTGTACCCAGGTGGAGTGCAGTGGCACAATCTTCGGCTCACTGCAACCTCTGCCTCCCTGGGTTCTACGATTCTCCTGCCTCAGCCTCCCAAGTAGATTGGGACTACAGGCATGTGCACCCAACCCTGGCTAATTTTTGTATTTCAATAGACCAGGGTTTCCTATATTGGCCAGGTTTGGTCTCAAACTCCTGTTCCTTAAGTAATCTGCCTACCTCGGTCTCCCAAAGTGCTGGGATTGTAATCTGAGGTGGGGCAGATCACTTGAGGACAGAAGTTCGAGACAGCCTTGGCTAACATGGTGAGAACCTTGTCTGTACTAAAAATGGACAATTGAGCTGGGCGTGGTGGCACTTATCTGTAAGACCAGCTACTCGGCAGCTGAAGCAGGAGAATCGGTGGAACCTGGGAGGCAGAGGTTGCAGCAAGCTGAGACCGTGCCACTGCACTCCAGCCTGGGCGACAGAGTGAGACTCAGTCTCAAAAAAAAAAAAAAGTTTATTGAGTACCTACTGTATACACTGGGGAACGGCACGTGCAAAACAAACATCTCTTTCCTATTAGGTCACTTTCTTCTTCCTCACCCCTCGCTCAGGTGAAAGTGCACCTCCATTCATTATAAAAATTGGTCTAGGCTCGGCATAGTGGGTCAACTCTGTAATCCCAGCACTTTGGGGAGGTGAGCGGGCGATCACTAAAGTCAGAGATCCGAGACGATCCTGGTCTAACCAGTGAAACCCCGGTCTCTCTAAAAAATACAAAAAATTTAGCCGGGCGTGTGGCGGTGTGGCCTGTATCCAGTACTCAGAGGAGGCTGGAAGAATGGCATGAACCGGGAGGCGAGCTTGCAGGAGCCGAGATCGGGCCACTGCACTCCAGCCTGGGTGAAGAGCGAGCTCCGCCTCAAAAAAAAAAAAAATTTGTGTCTTTTGATAATATCTGATGGTCCGCAAAAATGATTTTCGCGCCCTAGTAATGTACACGTTTAGTTTTTCCACAAAAGTTTTTAATAATAAAGTTGGATCTATTGCCGGCGCGTGCTCAAGCTGTAATCCCAGCACTTTGGGAGGCCGAGAACGGCGGATCACAAGGTCAGGGATCGAGACCTATGCGCTGGCTAAGGCGAAACCCGTCTCTACTAAAAACACAAAAGAATTAGCCGGGCGAAGTTTGCGGCGCCTGGTGGTCCCAGCTAATTCGGGGCTGAGGCAGGGGAGAATGGCGGGAACCCGGGAGCGGAGCTTGCAGAGCTGAGATCGGCCACTGCACTCCGCCTGGCGACAGAGCAAGACTCCGGTCTCCAAAAAAAAAAAAAAAAAAAAAAAAGTTGGAATTATTGTAAAAGTTTAGTAAAATTTCAGGTTTATTCTTGCATCTCTGAAATCCTTTTTAAAAAGGCTAGTGGTCATGTTTGACTTCAGCCAAAATTCATTTTCACATCTGACCATTGGCTTGGCCACCAAATGTGTATTTAGAGAAACTGAACCTATGGGATGCATGAATGTGCACACATGTGTGGAAGTGTGGGCCCCTGGGAAGGTGCGGACTCCCGAGGGCTCACTCCATCGCCTCCCCCAGCAGCAGGCAAAAGGAAGCAGTGTCCATGTTCTCTACTCCACCCCCGCTTGTTACCTCTGGGAGCTGAACAAGGCCAACCTCACCTGGTATTTGGGGAAACTGGGGAGCTTGGGGGGGTTGGCATGCCCCGTTGGAGGCAGAGGGGCAGATCCACGAGGTCAGGGAGATCAAGACATCCTGGCTAACACGGTGAAACCCATCTGCTACTGAAAATAGCCGGGTGGTGGCGGGCACTTGTAATCCCAGCTACTCCGGGAGGCTGAGCAGGAGAATGGGCGTAACCGGAGAGGCGGGCTTGCAGGAGCGAGACGTGCCGGCCACCCGCACCCCAGCCTGGGCAGACAGATGCGAAACTCCGTCTCAAAAAAAAAAAAAAAAAGAAGGACTCGAGAGGGGCGGTCCTAAGGGTTGTTTTCCAGCTTCCAGGCCGCAAAAACATCTTCCTCTCTTGGGCCCGAATGTATACTGGAGAGGTGCCACTGTCTCCTGAGCATAGGGTCCCACGTTGGCCCGCCCGGACCACCAGCGCCTCCAGCTGGTTGACACCTGGAGCAGAGGGGTATGTTGGGGTGTCCCAGAGTCGGGGCCTCGGGCTGTTGCCCCCCTCTAACCCGGCTCCCTACCCACCTGCAAGAGTTGTAGCTGAGGCGCTCGT